GCGGTTTCCGATGATGTCATTTCGCGTTTCGCAAACGAGTTTGCTCGCCCTAATATTCTGATTTAAATATTATACAATGGGACACTATCCGCCCAGGCGCCGATCGTTTCTCGTTATTACTTAATAACAAAACGTGGGTGAGCTCGCGTAAGTCAAGCAGCCACTTGAGACGCGTAGGTTTCGTAGTAATTTCCTCCTTCCTAAATAAAGCGGAATATTAAACGGTGTCCCCGCACGGAACGCCGTTGCATGAATATTTAAATGGAAACGATCTTCCTACGCCTGCATTTCGGTTCCCCGAGTTCGATGAACACGAATATCGGAAGCGAAAACCCATCTTCGTGGGCTTTGATATTCAATAATGACGAACGCAATTTCCTAATTTGAGCTTTTATTTTGCGTTTGAAAGCAAATTTGAAAATAAAGGAATTTTTAACTTCGCTTTGGGTCTATTTTACGAATTCTTTTAAAATCGAACCAACGTAATAAGAAAAGGGAGAATCATTTTTTGAAAAGTAATTTACCAGAAGCGTAAAAATCGAAAGATTGCTAAATCGGAAAAAGCGTTGTATCGAGGCAATTAGCTTTTTAACGTCACCCAGTTGATTTTCTACGCCGCTGGACGGCGCAAGTTCAAGGGGATAATTCTAGACGCCCGGAAATGAACTTCATCCATCGATGGTGTTCAGAACCGGTGCAATGATCAACCGATGCAACCGCAATGCCACCGCAAATCGTATTCCAGGCAGTGGGCAAAATGAGAACAAATTCCGTGGACTCGAGTGTTGTGTGCAGGACAGTTGTCTAGCGGTATAACTGTTCGTCTAGCGACAACGAAGGATACCTACGATAATGCCCCCTAATTGCCCAAACGGCCGGCCATTATCGTTGCTTTCGAGGACCTAACTGTATTCGTCGTACGAAAAATTAAACGAGCTCTTAACCGTCGAGGACATCGGCGTAACGCGTAAGTGACTCGCGTTCGTGTCATAACGAAAGTTTAAGACGATGAAAGTTCGTTTCTAAAGCGAACACGTTCGCGCGATAACGTCCGCGGCAAATATAAGGAAATTTTTTACGCAGCAGAATGAAATACAACTTGATCTCGTCGAGAAATAGTTTCGATTTACGTGGACGAGCGAGCTGTGATTTAGCATGCCCGAAGAATCATTTATTACGTAAAAATGTTTGCACTCCGAGAGGATGAAATTGAAGCGCGCGGGGCCCGAGGATCGTAAAAGTCGAAGGAATCGCCTGAGGCACGTGGCAAAGGGTCGTCCCGATCCGTTCTAACACACGAGTTTCGACCCTTTGAATACGTTTGTGGTGAATCACCAAGTCGAATTCTTCGTACGCTCACCCCTTCTATGGAATCCGGGAGGACTTCCTCTTCCCAGAAGAATCTTTCAAATTTGACGTAGAAGCTGACAGGTCTGCATTTTTCAGAGTTTATGAATTACTAAAATATGAATCATGAGGATACATAGTCTACTTGCATGCATCTTCTTACAGAGATATTTAATAGTATTGCAGGTTCAACCATTCCCTGTTTGTAAAATAAAATTCATGCAATAGAATGTTAATGTAACGTGCACGTGAATTTTTTAGATTACGCGGTAACGTCGTTGACAATAAGAATGGAACGATTAATGACCCTCTTGTCATACAAAGCGACATCTTATTTTTCATACTATTGTGTAACGCAACGCCATTCTAGTATTCTCTTGTATCCTCGGCAGTACCGCGTACAATGGTGCTCGTGTTTTAAAACAGTACACGCACCGACTTTCCAGTGGCTCTCAGATCGTCAGAAAAGAACTGCTGACTCCTCGTTTCGAATACACGCGAGAACAACAAATTTCTAGTACAATGCAAACTAATAGAATTTGTCCACAAAGGAAATTCAGTCCATTTACTTTTGCCAGTGACTTCGCATTGAAAATATCTTCAATTCTTCAGAGCCAATAATTCCTAATTTACTGACCTCTAACCTCCGCTTGTTTCTCAAAAACGACACAATTTCCTTAGTTTTTCGTACCAAAGGGTGGTTGAACCGTAGACTTTTGTCAGTGACTTCGCATTGAAAATCTCTTCAATTCTCCAAATTCTTCAGAGCCAAGAATTCCTAATTTACTGACCTCTAAACTCCGCTTGTTTCTCAAAAGCGACACAATTTCCTTAGTTTTTCGTATCAAAGGGTGGTTGAACCGTAGACTTTTGTCAGTGACTTCCCATTGAAAATCTCTTCAATTCTCCAAATTTTTCAAAGAAAATTATTCCTAATTTACAGACCTCTAACCTCCGCTTGTTTCTCAAAAGCGACACAATTTCCTTATTTTTTCGTACCAAAGGGTGGTTGAACCGTAGACTTTTGCCAGTGACTTCGCATTGAAAATCTCTTCAATTCTCCAAATTCTTCAGAGCCAAGAATTCCTAATTTACTGACCTCTAAACTCCGCTTGTTTCTCAAAAGCGACACAATTTCCTTATTTTTTCGTACCAAAGGGTGGTTGAACCGTAGACTTTTGCCAGTGACTTCGCATTGAAAATCTCTTCAATTCTCCAAATTTTTCACAGCCAATAATTCCTAATTTACTGACCTCTAACCACCGTTTGTTTCTCAAAAAACGACACAATTTCCTTATTTTTTCGTACCAAAGGGTGGTTGAACCGTAGACTTTTGCCAGTGACTTCGCATTGAAAATCTCTTCAATTTTCCAAATTCTTCAGAGCCAATAATTCCTAATTTACTGACCTCTAACCTCCGCTTGTTTCTCAAAAACGACACAATTTCCTTATTTTTTCGTACCAAAGGGTGGTTGAACCGTAGACTTTTGACAGTAACTTCGCATTGAAAATCTCTTCAATTCTCCAAATTCTTCAGAGCCAATAATTCCTAATTTACTGACCTCTAACCTCCGCTTGTTTCTCAAAAACGACACAATTTCCTTATTTTTTCGTACCAAAGGGTGGTTGAACCGTAGACTTTTGACAGTAACTTCGCATTGAAAATCTCTTCAATTCCCCAAATTTTTCAGAGAAAATAATTCCTAATTTACTGACCTCTAACCTCCGCTCGTTTCTCAAAAACGACACAATTTCCTTAGTTTGTCGTATCAAAGGATGGTTGAACCGTCGAGTAAATAGGCGAATAAAAAAGTGAAAAATGGCGTTCGAGGAAGGCGAGAAAAACAAAGGGTAAAGGTAATAAATATTGGCTTCGAGGCGTAGTTCTGACGGAAGGATACAACTGCAACAAAGAAACGCGCGAGTCCTTTCGCGCTGGAGGCTCGACTTCGTTCCTGCGAACTTCGCTCGAAACACGGTACCCTTTGCCTGCGGCAATTAACTCTCGAGATTGCTAATTAACCCCGTGAGAACATCGGGGAGGATCCTACGCGTTTTCTACCTACTTCTCCGGGCTCAGGTTCGGATGTGCCACGTTTCCGTCGCGTCTCGTTCCTTTCCATACGCCGTAGAAGAGAGGAAAGCTTCTGCGTCGTGATTCTACTAGCCGTTTACTACAATGAACCTACAACAACCCGGAGGAGTACTTTCCGTTCCCTCGACCAATCGTGGAACACCGTCGAATGTGTGTCTCGCGGGAGAAAGGTTTACTATCCGAGTGGCCCGTTACAGTCGCTGCTTCCATCGATGTTCGATCGTGGCATACGCGAATGGAAGCGATTCGATAGTATGCAAATTCTGATCGTTCGCAGAAACAGCTTTTGTCTCAGTCTGTTAATTCTACTTTATTGCTAACTATTCGTCCGGGGAAAACATACGAGATCTGTTCCATAAGCGATCTTGAAACGTTCTCGAAGCATTCGAGTTATCCAGATATCTATCTGGAGATTGAAATCATGGAGGCAAGTAAAAGTATTTAATAGTCCGAATGATTGAAAAAGTCGATTAAACCTGTCCCACTGTCTGCCTTTGTACTTAAACACTGTACCGCATTTCTTCGGAGTCTGTAATGATTTATCGGACAAGGTACCAGCATTTTATAGCATCGACTTCGTTCGCTCGCAATAAAAAGCAGTGGTACTCCGTTTTTTTTTCAGATTAGATTACCACCGGGAGATTAGTACTGCAACACGAAGTGGACACAGTACGCAAGAACCGTAAAGTAATCTTCATTCGTCTTAAGTTTTCAAGCGCCTAGACGCTTTTATCTCGAGTGTTCCGGTTCCCTAAGGGCTGGCGTTTTCATTATCGTCGTGGGATTTTTCGAGTGGCGAGTGCTACTCGTAAGATCACACGATCGAAATCACTCGATGCGACACCCTATCTCTTCGCGGCATGCGAAAACCACTCAAGGCTGTCCGCTTTTGTTGGTAAATCATTGGTGCTCATCGATACGTAAAGATGTCAAGGAGCTTTTTAATGAAAGCAACATCTGCTTACGGTCTTCGTTAGTTCGAGTGCGACTGCTCGACAGTTCGACGAGCTACGAATTTGGTAACTACCGAACAGATCCGATCTATTACAAGTAATTAACGTTTAACGTTTGTCTATCTTACTGACAAGAAACATGCGTTTAATTTCAATACCTCGTAGATTTGTACGAGATTTTGCTTTAACTACCCTTTAGAATTTCACCCCTTGTGCACAAGAATTTTTACGAGGAGATAATGAAAGAATTATTGAAAGATTTCGATCGATAAATTTTCAACATATCTACTGGTAAACAACGATCGAAGGTTCTAATATGAATTCCATGCGCTTAGGTGCCACAAACTATACGCATACCTACGCAGTCGCGTCTCATTACACATGCAGCCGAGTGAATCAAGGGACGTCCGCGTACAGGTATTTTTTCCACGCACAATTCGTCCGTTTCGTCGCGTGTTTTAGTAAATAATATCCGGCGAATAACTCGCTATATCTTCGTTCACACCGTCTCTCGGCGCGCATATTTAGCCACTCCGTTGATGCAGGTCTTAATGAGATTCGCGTTCTCTTCACCTTTTTTTTCTAGCTCGATCTATCTCGCTTACCTTGAGGGCGCAGAAGATGCAGGATTCCCGCATGCAGGCATGCCCTGAAAGCTCCCTGAAGCTTCGCCGGAAGATATCCAGGTGCCATAACACCTGAAACGTGAGAAAATGGACGGTTAATAGCGCGCAAAGTGGGGCACGCGCTGAAAACTTGCGCTATGATAAAACGTAAATACAAGGGCGTCTCGTGTAGTTACAAAAGGGTTCAAACTCGAAACGACACACGTAAAGTGACCCAAATTTTACATATTTTATTTCGAACCTCGTGAAATTATTCTTACTTAGTCAACGTGTTGATATCAATCACTTTCCATGAATTTTCCAGGATCTTTATCGCTCTTACGAAGAAATCAACGAGCATGGAAGATTTATTTTTTGGTCTGTCTTTTGGAATTCGAAACTTTGATTGATGATTTCAAGAAGCCTCGTTATCTTTCATGAACACAGTTATCCATTCATTTAAAAGATACCGTGCTTTGATGGATTGTACAAAGTGATTCTTGAAGGCAATTTATGTTCCCTGAACGAAGATAAAAAGAATTCATAGGGGGCAAAGTTGAATTCCCTATGTGGAGCCATTTTACATATTGCATTTTTATCGTTGCACAAAAAAATATTATGTCGTTGAAAGATGTGGCTTCTACTTTTTTTCCTCTATGAATTTTTTGTATCTTCGATTAAGAAAGACCTGCTGCTTGTACCAGTTTTTAGGATCACGCTGTATAGTATTGTAGAAATCTAGATCATTCCTTGGTGGCACATAAAGAGTTTAGACGAACGTACACAGTGCATTTGCTTTCCCTCAACTGGCAGAGTAGGGTCAAGTCGACCCTGAACAGAAATAGGTGAAACGTACAGCACGTGCAACTAAATATGTAACCGCGGATACACCAATCCTAAATCAAATTGTCGTGAAACTTGCTAACAATCCATAAATTCAACCAACAGATTTCCGTGTTCGACAAACTTTCCTGTTGATTTTCGAGAGAAATTCAACATTGTACTATTCACGTTTGGCCCACTTTGTTTTCGCCATTTTCTATTTACGTAAAGATTAAATTATTTCAGATTACCGCTCTAAATTTCAAGAAAATGTCCTGTTAACCGGGTTCTTGCTGTATAATGATATAAGATAATATCGTCTTTATTATACACCGATCAGAACCAACAGCCGCAGAAAACCACTATAGACAATGGTGAATGGTCGAGGCACTACAAAATTTAATAAGATAGACAGAGCAATTTTTAAATTAATTTTGCTTTCACGACGGTAGATACGAAATCGTTCCGTTCAAGTTGATAAATAGAAAATGTTCCGCCTCGAAAGATTTAACGTACGAATATATCTTCTCTGAAATTTGACTCGTTCGTCTCATTCGCAGTCACACAGATACGAAAGAAATAAACTAAACAAAACTGTACATAATAAAATGAAGCCATTGTACACTAATAAGGGTATTTCTAAAGTGTTTAGTTTGCCAAGTTCGTGCCTTTGATATCATTATTAGAGCACGCTAATTAGCAATAAATCTAGGATTTTTCCATTGACGGATAAAGAATACGGATCGTAGGTGGGCACGCAATACGAGGAAATATGTAAATGCGACAGCCCCCTGCGTGGAACGAGCCTTCAACCACGCACGATAGTAGTCCACCGTATCGTGAGCACATTATTATTCCCAGGGAAAGTAAATCACAATTTCCGCGACCGTGTCCTGTCGCATAGCGGAACATTATTTTCGCCTTTCCGGCGTCACGGGCCAAATATCCGGTATTCTTAAAAATCGCGTCGATCATTCACGGGAAAACGAAATCATAAACGAGCGAACGCGTCGCGAGATATCTTAAAATATTTCATCTCGTAGAAAAATGTTTTTTAAAGGTATTTCACTAAAATTAAATATCTAAATTTCTCTAAAATACAAAGAAAAATTTATCCATATTTTTCTCTGTTAAAAATTCTTCGAGTTCCTCTAGAAGGGTCGCGCCCCCACTTTGGAAAATATGTATTAGTATATTCGTTAACTTATGAGCATAATGGCCATGTTTGTCGACTTTCGACGAAATTACGTTCCATCTATTAATGCAATTACCTTAATTGCAGTGTGTGAAATCGTAATAAAGCGAGTTTTATCGCTATAGAGAGATCTGATTTAATTAGCTCTAATGGCAAAACGTATTTTCGCCTTGAAGAAGAAACAGAAGACCGGAACGCGACGAACAGTTTTTCACAGGAGACTTTTGTAGGTTACGTTAGTTGAAATCAGATATGGCCAGAATTTTATGCAAATAATAAACGAAACATAGAAACTGTTTTTCTCGGTTGAGCAGTTCTCCTTTCAGTCGCTATTCGAGATTTTTTACCCAGATAAAAATTTTGCCTCTGGCTGACACGATCCCGATTTGCCTCCAAATAAATTTATACGAAATAAAGTGAGCAAACTAAGCAAATCTGCTTATTATCAATTCAAATCAATATTGTTTGTCTACTGAAAACATTTCCGATATAAAATGTTTTTCAACCATTTTTAATAATATTCTTTGAAGAATTTATTAGCTTGCCTGACCAGTTACTTTAACAGAAAAAGTTAATCCATCTGCTTTTATTTGAGTATTATTAATTGTTTTGTTCGTAACTTAGCATCCAACGTTAAAATCGTCGTTGTCATACAAAAAAAAAAAGATGGAGAAACGACGTACATATATGCGGGAAAGCGTTTTCATTGAATGGACGTGTTTTGAAAGACTCGTGGGATCCAACAAGTGAACAGGGTCCTTCCAACAGGAGCGTGTCAATATGGCTCCCATGTAAGGGCGTTCCACAATACACGAGGGACAAGTGCACGCCTCGGTTATTACGTGCACTTCCCCTCGACGCATAAAACAAAACGTGCATTCGAATTTTCGACAACGAAAGCAAATATACGAGGCACTCAAATACTCCTTTGCATACAAATTTCATTTTCGACGACGAGCATTGCTTTCCCTTTTCCAATAATAATACATTGATCATCGAGTCTTTTTTGCATTTGTAAATATTCGATATATTATTTAAATAATTTTAAAAATGTTGTTGAAAACGTTTAGAAGGAACGATAGTATCGACTATGTTTCAATACATATTAATTAGCCACTGATTAACGTGCGAACTGATTACCAAGAAAATCGTATGAGATACTTCACGGTAATGGTTATTCACGCTTATTAACGATACGTTGGTTGGCTCGATTACAAGTAGATCAAGCGATTGTTCATTGCGAAATTAATCGATTCTGCATTCCAATAATTTTCCTTTCACTCTATTCGGCAAGACAGAGTACTTTCCTTGTTTTGAAATTTTCTTCGAAACAGGAAAATCTGGCTATGCATTAATTTGAACTTGAATAACAAACGGTTCGACTGACGTAATATAGGTGTTATTGTTCTTGGGAAAAATATTTTTTATTTCGAAAGAAATTATCTTTTTGCATTAAAAAGAAATGCAGGAAGTTTGATAGAAATTGCGTCCGCACACGCTTAAGAATTCCAGGGCGCTCTAAATACCTAATTATTGTTGCATGACTCCGACGCATTCGTTCAGATCTCCTCTGCGGATACACAAGCATTTAAAACTCTTCGTTCTCGAGCATTTCCAGGCAACCTTGGCTAAAATTTATTCTACTGTTACTTTAAACGGTTTTCTTTGAACGTTATTTTATACAAAATAAATGCGTGCAATTCATTACCGATGTATATACTTTTGTATCATTATTTTCAATAATAAAATACTGGAAAACATTTTCCTTCACGCAAACGTAAACAGAAACTACTTTTTCATATTTTCATTCATCGTTGCAGAGGATCAAAATATTATTGTTGAATAATAAAGACATCTAATAAGAAAATCTCGAAATTGATATACGAGTTTGCAAATGTATGAGCGAATGATATGAAAAGTAACTCATATCCCCGTGAATGTCTCCATTTCTAATAAAAGTTTCAGCAAATTAACTCGCTTCTGATATTCACACGCAATCAGGTTTTTTTTCGTGCGTGAAGAAACCCGTAAACCGACCGATTTCGCCACAAAAGCGACACGTTTCCCACCGCGATCGCGCTAATTTGCATACGTAACCAACAGTTTCATGTGATTTCTATGCACACATGGTTGATCGGTTCATTATACCGGATTACCCGCGAACTCGTCTAAACTCGGCCCGTGTCGCACCGCGGAAACGCGTTCCATCGCACCTAAATGTCGCAATTCCACGACTAGGAACGTTTCATTCACGACAAACACGATGTAAGTCGCCGAGAAAAACAGAGAAAAATGGATCGCGATTGCATGCCAATTTTTTTCGCGACTTAATGAACCGGTGATCGCAATTATTGCGGATAAACTACGTGAATGTCCACCGTTCCTTTCGAAGAAACCGCAAAACGTTGCCGCGAGGGGAACCCATTAAATGTGTGTCGAGTCTGTTGTGTTTTCTCCATTTTGCGCGTCATCGTTCACACGTGGCGATGTATTGTATTTAGGTCGACAGTAAATTCGAGGCCACGACAGAGATAGACAAAATTTCATTCGAATAATAAATAACCAACGGGATTAAACGATGAAAATTTTAATCAGAAAGTAGTTTATTAGACTTCAACGATGTATAATATAAACTCCAAACTCTTGAGAACAATGACAACCGCTAAATCTCACCCTGGTCTTCATCAATCCCACAATTCCATCACCGTTAACTACCATAACTGTTTGCTATAACACGATAGCGTATGATCTCGTTAAAGGCAACGTATGGCGTGCATCATTACCACGTCGAGTTTTATGGTGCTTGAAACGCGAGACAGAATTCAGAAGAAACTCTGTTTTCTGAACGACTTATCGTTATTATTGAATGATATTTACAAACTTTAAAAGTTAAATATTGGACTTAAATAAAATAGAAGACTGTTAGATTTCGATTCCAGCAAATACACTTCAATTTAACTTCCTCGAAAGCAATTACAAACTCCAAATCTCACCTTGATCTCTCACATATGATCTCATTACAAGTAACATGACACATATCAGTATTACATCGTGAAAAGTATATTATGCGAGTGCA